TTATACTAACAGGTGTAATGGAACAAAAACATTGCATTCCGAAAGCTAATATTATTTCAGTCATTTCTCAAATTATAAATAGTCTTCGATCAACCGTTCAAGATATATTTTTTAGAATCGTTAGGTTTTTTGATGCCCTCACCGAGATTTGAAATCCGGAGCTCTCAAATACGCGTCGAGCGTGTTTCCAGTTAGACCGCGAAGGTATGCGGAAAGAAAGGAGAAAATTCCTTATATATTCCCCCTTTTAAAGGACGACTGGAGATGAGGGGACCCAGTAGCCAAATCCCGGTGGTGACGAATTAATCTTTTAAATCGGGAGTCACTATAGAGTCTTTTTTATGCTGGAGAAGTGAATAATGTACAATGCTCTCGCCAGGATTCGAACTCCAAGCCTCCCGAATATGCGTCGAGTGAGGTTCAAGTTACACTATGTAGGCATGCGGAAAGGAAGTAGAAAATACTTATAATTTCTTTGTGCAATCTTTTTGTGTAATATTAATAAAATTATTAAGCAATATGGCGAATATAAAACAACATTTAAACAAAGATGTACTTCTCTTATTTCATCAGAACTGCTTTGTCAGTTATAATCCATTACCATTTTTATAGGCAGATAGAGCAAACGTGTTCATAACTCTTTGTTAACGTGCAAACAAGACTTGCTAATTAATGCAAAAAAGAAGATTTATCATCGATTCTGCCTCCTATAAATACTTAAGTTTATGGGAGGGTGGTAAGATAACTGGCAGAGCGCCATGCATGCAGATGACTATATCCTTTCATTAACTTTCTAACCATTTGCGTGCAGAGTTTTGCATGTTTTCCCTCCGTGCAAGATCCCTTAGCACCAAGAAGGTTAATGACTGTTCTTTTTTATACTACGTAGTTTTGAGAATACCTGGAAGACTAACCATGCAGTGAAGAAACAATTTCTATTTAATACTATATTTCTAGATTCAGTTAGTTTTAATTTCATTTTCGAGGAATAATGAAAGTTTTCATCATCAAGAATTTGAATGAAACACGTGCTGTGGAAGTTCCAAAATCTAGCATGGGAGTATTTAAGGTATTTTACAGACACATTTGTATGCTAACAGCTTTCCTCGTGAAAATAAGGATTAAAAAAATATCGTACACAATGGAAAAGCATATAAAATAAACTCTGAATTGCATGGCAGATTTTATGAACTCGTAAAGACCTTGAAAGCACAAACAGTCCTCGCATCCGCAGACTCAGTATGCATGGTTCAGTTATCCTTGGTTCACAATGGAGGAAAAGTGTCCTTTGAATTTTAAAATATAATAAACAGGTTGTGGCCAAATGTGAAATACAAGCGCAGAAGCAAGCTAATCACTCTGTTACCACAATATTCGCGACCATATAAATATGCATAAATTTTCCTAACGGGGATGTAACTAAACGAGAAAAGGGTGAAAATGGTCATCTTCATGTACAAGTTGTAAAATATACACTCTGTCCTAAAAAAAAAAAAAAAAAAAAAAAAAAAAAAAAAAAAACAAAAAAAAAAAAAAAAAATGGACCCAGAAGAAATCGAGCCACAATAACGAATCTCAGCATGAATGCAGTCTGGTAATAGATATGCAACGTTATACAAGATACATATATATATACGAATAGATGTCACGAAAAAAATCTCTTCTGAATCCATTTTTAAATCCATTTTTTAATCCGTTTTGGGAAAAAGAGACCTTTCTTTTTCTGTCCGTACATACAGACATCACGCAAAAATATCGTTCAGATGAATTCGAGAGCAGTCAAAATGGATATGTTCTTTAAAATATGATACCCGAAAATTTTCGCAATTTAATACTTCCTTTACTTCGTACAAGAAAGTAAAAAGACCTTCTTTACTTCTTTTCAGGAAAGAACCACATGCCAAAACCCGAGAAAACATATTCTGCTGTGTTAAAGTATGGGATACCCATACATCTTGTGGCAGCGTACTCAACAAATCTTCTTCAAATCACATGTACTACACTTTTTAGTGTATTTAGACTCTCTGATAGTTCCTGAACTACATACCGTGGATTTTCAGCGGCTGTACATTTTTAATAGGTCCTTGTTTGCACTGGACGGATATCATCTTCGAGCGGTAAAATGGTATCATCTTCGAAGCTGAAATTGCAACGCTTAATTTTCTCAAACCGCTTTCAGACTGTTTCATCAAAAACAGCACTTTGTCTATATGTAGCCCAAATTTTAGAAGTCAGATAATTTTATACGTTTTATAACAGTCTGATTGGCCTTTTTCCTTTCTTTAAAATAAAACATCATAACATGATGAAAATTAACTTCTGGGTTCTTCATTCTTAGCACTATGTTGGGGAAAAAATTACACAAGAATTAAGCAGCATGAGCAGAGAAGGCCATATCAAATACTTGCATCAGCAGAGAAGGCCATATTAAATACTTGCTTCAATCATGATCACTCCTTATCAGCAGTAACTGAAAATCAGAAGAGAATTCGCTTTGATTTGAGAAACCGCAGAACTCCCCCGGTTGACCCAGTATTTCCTCTAGAGGAATCTGCGTATATAGGAAAACGTGAGGCGCAGATCATTAGATCTTTAATGCCTGTTAACATCTGAATTCCATATAACGACCTTAGCTAACAGCGAGCTCGCTTTCAAAATGTATCTGATTAATACTGCATATCTGATAGCAAAAATGCACTCACTTCCAAACGTTAAGCACGAAGATGTAAAATGCAAAAAAAAATCAACAAATACTGCTTTGACTGACACAACATTCGGCAGGAAAGTAGCATATATATTTAAGCATAAAACAAAATCAATAATTATATACAGAAATGAAAACAATATTAAATTTTGTAAGTTATCAGATAATGACATACTGGAGGCTTAAACAGAATTACGTATAAAGTGAAAATAAACAGCATAAAATGGAAAAAAGGACATTAATAGAGTATGTGATCCCCCCTCATCTGTATACAAAGTTTACACCTTGTGACCACACTTTCAATTAGTTGGTCAACCACCGCAGAATTAAGCAATCGCCATTCTTCTTGTAGAGCAGTTTCTAGCTCAATAAAAGTGGCAGGAGGTGAGGTGGGCAACGTGAAGACACAGCACGGCCGAGAGCATCCCAAAGATTTTCAATGGGATTAAGGTTCGGGCGAATATGCTGGCCACGCCATACGCGCAATCCCTTCACTCTCCAGGTAGTCAACGACGATATCAGCTCTATGGGGACGTGCGTTATCGTCCATTGAAACAAAAGTAGGGCCAACTGCTGCAGCGTACAATCTCATAATGGGTTCTAGGACTTCATCTCGATACCAGACAGCCGTCAAGAACCCCGTTTAAAGATGTGTAGGTCGGTGTGGTATCCTAGTGAAATCTCTGCCCACACCATAATGCTTCCGCCTCGGAATGCGTGATGTTCGGTGATGTTTTGGGACTGATTGCGGCGTGTTCGTTGTTCACGCCATGTCCTTATACGCTTGTCATCTGGCTCCAGAGCAAATCTTGACTCATCAGTAAACATGATATTGCCCCAGTCAGATAAATTCCAATTGACATGTTCGCGACACCACCGCAATCGTGCCCCTCTTGATTGGACGGATAGAGGGACACAAACTCGAGGTACCCGGGCGTGCAGTCCACTCATATGTAATCTTCGGCGTTCAGTAGCTAGATATAACCTTACCAATGGACGCTGTAACCATAGATGTCACACATGTGGAGGTCGCTCTGCGATTCCGCTTGGCTACAATAGCAATATGTCGATCTTCCGAAGGGGTTGTAACCCTTGGGCTACAGGCCACGAGCCTTCGGACAACACAACTGTGTGGTTTGGAATTGTTTCCATAAATGTGAAATTACAGAATGATGAACGCCGAAGAAAAGAGCAACATCTGTGATCGACTGTCCTGCTTCAATACGCCCCACAGCACGCCAGCGCTCAGAATCTTCCATTCGTCTTCTGGAAGTCATAGAAATACGTAATGAAAAGAAAATGAAAAGAATAATATAAATGAATGAAAACGTATAATGAAAAGAAAATTTACGAAAGTTTTAAACACCTTCTATCAGCACTTACAATCAACTTCTGTAACCCTTCATAAAGCTGGCTTCTTATAGGACTGCCTTTTTTGCATACTTCTTGACATGAACGCGCGATTGGCTGTTACCTAACATATTTGTATACTTTCATCTACCTCTGCAGCGAAGTGCATCCTCTTCAATTCTGATTGGCTTCTGGAAATTAGCATTTTCCTCTCCGTGCTTAACTTTTGGAAGTGAATGTAAATAGTATCATCACAAAATTAGCAAGATATGGGACAGAACTATGTCAAGTTTCACTGTTAAAGAATTTTTCCCAACTATTAATGAACTCTGTGACCGAGATTAATAAACTTATTAATTGTATTAAGAAAATGAATACTCTCTGTATAATATATATGCAGTACATTGCCTAAATGTAAATGGTACTGGTTAATGGAGCGTGATAACTGATGGAAAGTCTAACAGGCCTATATAAACTCAGTTAGTTCAATCTGGTACGCTTATCCTCTTATAATGTATTATTTATATTATTATCGTCTTCTAATGCCCTTATATTATATTGTAATGTATTTATATTATTCTTATAATGTATAATGTATATATATTTATATTATTCTTATAATGTATTTATATAACTCTTATAATGTATTTATATCATTCAGCTATGTAAAATATCAAGATTTTAATTCCTGGGATGCACATGATGGGTTGCTAAAAGATAGCGAGGTGATTCTGTGGCGTGGGCCAAACACAGCTTTAAGTCGGAAGGGTTGTAATTCAGTCGTCTAACTTTTAAATAGGTTTTTAAAGAAGGCAAGTAAGTGGGAACAATGACTGAGGATTTATTATGACTTTGTGGTTTCCTCGTAATCTTACGTAGATCTGTGTTTCATCATAAATAAGTATAAACTATTTTGCGTATAAAAATGACTTACAGTTTTATTAGTTTCAATACAATGCGTAAGCCTTCTCGCTGTTGAAATTAAATACATGCAATATGAATGAAAACTCCTTCTTTTATTACTATTGCTTTCTTTACTTGAACTAAAATAATTTTTGACATGTTTAGTAATATTACAACATTTTTCATTCACAAATCTCATTCAAGTGCAATTCTAGTCTCCTTCATGCTTAAACGAAGGTATTCTATCATCCTTACTGAATTGATTAAGTGATCTCCAAAGCTGTAGATATGAATTATTAACCTTTTTTCATTCTCCAAATATCGCTCATCCGAAATTTACTCGGTATGAAAGAATATGAAGTCTGTGTTCCTTTACTGGCAGCGCTCTTATGCTTTGCAGAGGTTTTAGTTTTTTTGTGCTGAATTTTCATTATAGTAGATGAAGATGTTGATGGCTGAAAATCTTCTTCGTTTTCCTCATCTCTCAACCAAGAACAGTGACTAATTTGCTCCATAGTTGCTCTGCGTGTAACGTCTGGTTCCAGCATTCGGCTGATCAAATCCTGAGAAATATTCAAAAATCCTGTTTATATCCAACAAGCATAATACACCATATTCATAAAGTTCTTATGCGGCCTTTAATTTCATAACCATTAGTCGTACACATACACTCTCAGTTAAAATGTTTTAAATGATGCAAATATTCATGTTGTGGCATTTTAAAGTTTAAAAAAAAGCGTTATGAAAACCATAACATTTATATTCTATACGGGTCTCTGGTCTCTATAATTATTAAGACTTTATAATAATTCTAAAAAGTAAAACATAAAATATTTTACGCTTATGTGACAAAAATTGATGCAGATAATTAATTTTAAAATTTCTCAGGGATTGTACACAAAATAAAGAGCGAAAGTTAGGTTAGGTTATTTGAAAATGGCAAAGCACACGAGGGCTATCTGCATAAAGGAAAGGAGGCCCTTCGTTGAGGTCGTTATAAGAAAAACTGATTTGCATTCACAAAGAAAACCACAAGAACGAACCCAGCCAGTGTTAAAAAATTATAGCTAAATTTTGCATTACAAAACGCTTGAGATTTCTAAAGTTTAAAATTCAAAAATTCTAAAGTTCAAAATTTAGAAAAAGTTTCACTTACCCTTTTTCCTTCCAACGAATCGAAATTCTGGGAGAAACTTAAGAGGTAGAAAATCATCAAACAATACCTGAAGACTAATTTTTGTACACTTTTATTTTCACAATTCTGACGATGAACACAAAACCAAACGTAGATACACAAACACACCATATGTAGACCAAATCACAGACGATACTAAAAGAATTTCAACCGATGTCAAATGTCTTTTTTTTTTTAAACTGTACTACTGTTGCCAATGTTAGAAACAAAATTGTCTATTCCTTTGTGTTGAGGCCATTTTCGACAGCTAACGCGTTCGCCTGGATATCTTATTTCCAGAATGTTACAGAATTCGCGTTCAACAAGATATTTCAACTTCTGGGTATATAGCTAATTCAGATCATTATTTGCGTAAATTACAATAAATATATTTCTATTTAACAAGCTTTTTGCATGACTGTTAGATTATGATTCTAGAGTAATGAAACTACATAAGAATATTAAAATATCATATTTTTAGCATTTGAAAACTTCTAAATTATTTGTGTGACATTTTTCTGCAAATAACAAGGCAACAAATTTAAAAATTAAAGAATGTTAGGCCAGTAAATCACAAAAAAATCATAGCATGAGATTTAAGGGGGGGGGAGAAGATCAACTATAGAATTTTTCTAATTTAATTTTTAGCCGATTTTTCAAGGCAAATTAAAAAAAAAGGGTAAAAATTCAAAATTTTAAATTAAAATTTCAGTTATTTTTTGTCGGATGAGAATCAAAGTTTTGTAATTCATTTTTCTAAAGTAAAAAATTTTGGTTAGCTTAGATTTAAGGGTGCATCCCGTTTATAGCTAAGTTGTTTCATTTATCTCCAAGTTGTTGCTTTATTTATGGTAACTTGAGTAGTTGAATGTTATGGAAACGCTATTATGACGTAATTGGTTACGTTATTGCGGTGAATTTGAAAATGGGAAAAGACTTGGAAAGTGTTGTCGAATTTTGAATAAGAAGTACGCTCTTATTTTGTGGTTTACAAGGTAAAATGGCTGAATGTGGTAAGATTAATTTGAAGTTTCTGTACGATTTGGAACGAAAGGGAAAAAAAAGCATTAATTGGCTGGTGTGTAAATGAAGGTTTACTATTATTAAGTGTTCTGTTTGTAGGAAGGAAATGCCGTATGGGCGAACGTCGGACGATAGCGACACTACGGAGGATATTTTTGTGAATTTATGGGGCGACGACAGTATACAGATTCTAGTTCAGATAATTTTAGGAAGTTTTTGGAGGCTGTTAAGGAATTTTGTTTGACTGAAGACGTAAATTCGTAAATAAGGTAAGTGGATATTTCCTTTGCGTAATGCTAAGGTGAATTTCCTTTTTTATGTTATTTCGTTGTTTGATTTAAAATGTGGTTTATTGAGATTATATATTTTTTGTTGGCTTCTCCTTTGGCTTTTTATGTGAATATAGATCGATGTGTACATGGACAAAGTCAAGGGAGTGCGCAATGCCTAGTTTGTGCAATTCTCTGGTGTTTTTTAAGTGAAATTAGGTCGAGGTGTACATGGGTACCGAGTTTGTGCAATTCTTTGACTTGTTTTGTGTAACGGCGATTTTTGGTAACGGCGATTTTTGCACCAAAAATCGCCGCTACACTAAGCCAAAATAACAAGTCAAAGAATTGCACAAACTCGGTGTCCATGTACCGCTAATTATCGCCAAGGAGCACTCGTAAATATATTTTTACCCAAATTTTTACTAAACGTAACTACACTAACCAGGAAACCGTATAAAGGACAAAATTTAGTAATTATTATAAAACTGATCTTTAGAATTTTAAACATACCAAAATATGAATATCTGTGTCATTGTAAATATATCTGTAACTGTAAGTATATAGTATTTGAGACCAAAGGTTGCGAAAATAAAGGTCGCGTAAGGACTTTTATAGATGCAGGGCACAGAAGAAAATTCAATGTATTGTTGCATATAATTCGAAAATTAAAAAGATCTGTGTAAATTATAGAAGGCTTATTATTTTCAATGCGTGATTTACGTGTCCTCAGAAAATAAAAAATACTATCTGGCCACAAATATTTGTTACAAGCCTTGTGCGTAAGCGTTTCAATGAAATAAATAAACAGCTAAGTCTTTAATAGTCAAGTCTTCGCTCTGTTAAATAAGAGCACAAAACTTACGATGTAATAATAGCATAAGTAATTATTTCCATCATTTGGCATTGCCATTTTCAGCAGGTCATTTAGCATGCAAGATTTGTTTTGTTATATATCTTAAATTTCTATGAAATGAATTCTTAAGCTAGTAAGTAAATTAGTAACTGCTTAGCTCAAAACTGTTTCAGGTGTTAAATTTAAAACATTTTTTGATAAAAGGAAATACAAATTTAACTTAAATTTGAATGGTGAACTCTTTGAGGTTTAGACTATAATTTGAAGTTTTCAGATTGCACTTTACTTTTATCTTGATCTTAAAAACCATACATTTTTTATATTTTCGCTCACCATTCTTTGTCCGAACAAAAATTATGTAGTAAAAAAGTTATTAGCACCTTGAAAGAAATCTTCTCGAGATGTTTATTTTATCAATATGCGAATTTTATGTTAAAAAAAAAGCATGCTACTTAAGATAAATAATTATTGCCGCCCAGGCGATCGAGTGAAATAAATGTGGGAACACATTATTTTAATTGATTTAAAACTTTTATCAAGTGAGCTTTTACATGGCATTAATTTAAGATGAAATGTCTCAGCAGTTTTTCCTACAGCTTTTGACATTACTATATTGAATAGCTCATTTTAATGTAAACTTTTATGCTCTAAGCTGTAATTTTTTAGGAACTAATTCTTAAAGTAGTAAGCTTATCGCAACTGCTTAGTTTTTTGGGTAATAATTAATATTTCGGGTATTAAGTTAAATTTGAAAAACGACGTCCGACTGCAATTTCTTTTTAATCTCAGGACTTTTGTATTTTTTTAAAACTTCTTATATTTATTAAATTTTGCGGGCAGACTCTTCGAAGTGATAGATTGTCATCCAAAATTATCAGATCGCAGTTTTAATTTTCTTTACATCTTCTCAAACCATATAAATTTTTATATGGTTGCTGAGTTCTGTGTGTTTGCTTTAATGGGATAGACACTACTTATAGTAACTGAAAATTCAAATAAAACGGGAGGTCGCGACTATTATAAGTAAAGACATTTTGCCAATTTATTAGGTACATTAATTTTCTGAAACATCTAAATGTTTCACGAAAAGAAAGGAAAATATGCATTCACATTCTTTGTATGGTATTTCATTTATATTGCAACTAACATTGCAATGTTTGCTTCAAGACACTAATCACATTTTTAGGTTGAATCTGTTCTATTTCCTTTAGCAAAATATGCAAAATCAGCATACTTTTCTTAAGAAGACCAAACAGGCAGATACAAATAAAACTAAAGCGTTAACTGTAACAGATTTAATTTCTGTTTCTACCATTAGCTCTAATTTTCTGAGTTCAAGTCCTGGTTACGCTCTAAGTGACGTTATATTAAACTGAAAAAAAGAGCTTGTGGCAAATGAGGAATTTATAACTTATCACTACTTTTTACGAATAAAGATTAGTTCGAATTGACACCTCAGAACTGACTAAAATTCGATAAGCAAATGAAAACCAGTATCCTTTCTTACACCATTACCTTATGCCAAACTGCTTAGTGCAAGTAACAATTCAAACTGTTACCGAAGGCGTTCCTACCCAAGCAAATCTTAGTTTCGATAAATTTCGACCTGCTTAAATTTATTGTGAGTCATAAAAAACCTGCCAGGAGAACAGTTTTGTGTTTTTTGTTGTGCTATAAGGTATAGTTCAACTAAATGCAAGTAAACTAAACTATAACGAAACATCAACAAATTATTAGCTCATAAATCAAAGGAAACGAATAAACAGATACACTTGCAAAAGAAAACGTAGAATACATAGCAAAAACAAATAGCGACATACTATATATGCGGCACGACCAAGAAGTCATTCTCGCTGCAAATCTTTAACAAAAAAGCAATAGCAGCAATAGCAAGGGCGTACTGGAATTTGTTGCACTGTTTTCTCAAGGTCTTTTCGCACTATTTTTCTCAAGATTCTTACACACATAAAATATGTTTAAGTCATTAGCTTCCATGTCACAAGTTTCCCTTAAACTAACTTATAAGCCAAGTAATCTCCATGGTGGCTTATCACAAGCATTATGTTGTCAAAAATGTGAAGGCCGAGTGTATATAAATTATCTGTTTTCAAAAATATGCTTATGCATTAATGCTGTACAGTAAGTAAACTCTCACTAAAAGATATATTTACAGAAAACAGTAGTTGATGAACAATATCTGTTGATTCCATGGAAAAACACTGGTACTTTTGTTAGCTCTCA